CCTATTGGCCTTCCCGGACCTGGTCCCCAGAACTAATGCTCCTCACGACAGCCTCTCCTTGGCCGATTCCTCTGAGGAAGGATTTACTGACTCAGAGACAGGGCACCCTTTGGCACCCGCGTCCAGACCTCTGAAAACTTCATGTCCGGTCCTGGATGGGACGCAGAGGTTCTGAGTGGCCTACTCCAAGAGGTAGTTGACACCATCACTTCAGCGAGAGCGCTACGCTTGAAGTGGGACCTGTTCGTTGAGTGGTGTTCTTCTCGCCGAGAAGACCCCCGAGGATGCCCGATCGGAGTTGTGCTGTCCTTTTTGCAGCAAGGGTCGGAGCGAAGGCTGTCTCCCTCCACCCTTAAAGTTTATGTCGCGGCAATTGCTGCTAACCACGACCCAGTAGAAGGAGGTCGTTGAGGAAGCATGACCTGGTCGTCAGGTTCCTTAAGGGGGTGAGAAGGTTAAATCCTCCACGGCCCCCCTCTATTCCCTCGTGGGACCTGACGCTGGTGCTCACGGCACTACAGCAGGGCCCATTTGAGCCTTTTTGCAGGTGGTTGAGCTGAAGTTCCTTTCAATGAAGACTTTGCTCCTGCTAGCATTGGCCTCTATCAAGAGGGTAGGGGACCTGCATGCATTTTCGGTCAACGATTTGTGCCTAGAGTTCGGGCCGGCTGATTCCCAGGTAACCCTGAGGCCCGGCTACGTGCCCAAGGTTCCTGCTACTCCCTTCAGGGAGCAGGTGGTGAAACTCCAAGCACTGCCCTAATCATTAGGATATTGCGTAAAGATCATGTTCCATGAAGATATTTTGTAAATGTCCTACCGTAAATATATCAAAACTTCATTTTTGATTAGCAATATGCATTGCTAAGAATTCATTTGGACAACTTTAAAGGTGATTTTCTCAGTATTTCGATTTTTTTTGCATCCTCAAATTCCAGATTTTAAAATAGATGTATCTCGACTAAATATTGTCCTAACAAATCACACATCAACGGAAAGCTTATTTATTCAGCTTTCAGATGATATATACATCTCAATTTTAAAAAAAGATTTTAAAGGGTCACATATAGTAAAGATTGAATGAGTTGACATGTTCATGAAGGTGTAAAATCAAAGCGCTGTACTTTGTGTTGTTGCAGAAGAAAGTTTCTGGGCATCATATTGTTGCTGAAGTAATTATTACAGCAACCAATGTAGATATAACAGATATTGACTATACTGTCTGAACAAATGGCTCCGATTTCATCACTCACGAAATGTTAAAGACAGTCCTAATGATCAGGTTTGAAATACAGTACAGACTGAATTGAATGTGGTATCAGCAAAGCCTTAAAACTTGCATTTTCGAAATGTATCTGTTGGACTGAAAAATCATCACTGACGTTCTTTATAAAGCTGATTTGATTGGTGTGGATGAAAGCCCACAGAAGGTAAAAAGCTCTGACAGTATCTAAAAAAGGAAATCTCAGAAGTGCAGAGATTGCGGAAGTCAAACATGCATGTGACAGCTTCGCCTGAACACTTTATTGTCTTTGGGTGTGAAATCAGAAAGGTCAGGGTTCAGATGGCGTGTTTTTCTGAGCGTTCAGCTCTGTGCCGTGCAAAGGTGACATTTATTGGGAATGACAGAGTTGCTCACAGAGGGGGGCTGTTTGCTTCAGCGTGCTGCTGATGTAGCTGCAGGGCACAAGGTTGCAGGCGGTTCATGTGAGCTGTATTATAAAGAAATCAAACTCTTGGTGTGAAACAAAGATGACAATCCATTCCCTAAGCTTGCTGAACGACATTTTCCTGTCTCTCTGAAAGAGATTTTTCAAGTCTCTTGAGATACCTGAAATAAAACCTATTGAGGTTTTATTGAAATAGTCTCGGATGCAAGAGAAAAATATAGTCAAAAATAATTACAATCGCACAAACTTGAGAAGCACAGTGCGTACAGAGACAACAGTGATAGTCTGTTTTGGATTATTTTTTTTACTTGCTAAAATCTATCTATCTATCTATCTATCTATCTATCTATCTATCTATCTATCTATCTATCTATACTTGAGTGCTCAACATCTGGACTTGAACATTTTTTATCATTGTATTTTTTGTGTGTGTATTTTTTAGAGCTAATATATGGGCAGATATTTGGATATTTTCTTTGGTTGTAAATGCAGATAATTCTATTATTTTGTTATTTGGTCATTTTCCATGTCTATCAATGTCTATCAATGGTCTTGCACATTTTTGTATTCAAATAGTAGCAAACTGAATTTCAGATATAAGCAATTTGACTATTGTGTAATTTTGCTAAAATATTGAAAATAATTTTAGCATGTTGTATGTGCACATTATCGTGCCATTATTGCTGTACAACAGTTGTCCAACTGCTGTCACTTAAGTACTCGACCAGAACCTGCAATTCGGTTAAGGCTCATTTCAGCCTTGTCTTTCAGCATTATGGGGCAGTGAAGCGTAATGATTAAAGATCTGAGCTAGAAACTCAAGTGTTCAAACTCAGAAATTGGTGATCCTTCTCTAGCATTATTTGTATCCCATCACTAACTGTGGGACATTCGTAACTTTGTGTAAAAATTTGAATAAATAATGTATACTTAAAGGCATGGAAACTGATTTGGTTAAAGGTCCCCTGAAATGCTTAGAAACACGCAGCGTTACTCTATGTGTTGACGTCATTTTAACTGAAATAGGAAGAGAGGGCGGGACATATCAAGCAGCCCGCCCCTTTTTAAAATAGCCAATAACGTTTGTTTATATCACGGCATGGGCTAGAGCCGTTCAGAGCCGTTGAGCTCCGTAAAGCCGCATTTGACAGGGTATGCCAGCCACAATCTCATCCATATTGCTATAAAATATAGCATTCTGTGTAGAATTCAAATAGCTCCGATACATTTTGTGGTCTGCGGCGACTCGTGCATGTGATCCGCTCCGTGCTATCGTGTCTCTGGACCGGAGCAGAGTGTGTGTGCGGTGCGGTGGTTAGCGTGACACAGCGTGAAGCCAGACTTCTTTTTTTTCTCAATAGAAAGCATATTTACACTGTTTGAATCGTTCCCTGTCCCCTATATAGTGCACTACGTGCCATTCACTGTACAGAAAATACTAATTCTGTGGACAAGTGACCGATTTCAGCCGCGGCTTCAGCGTCTATTTTATAGTGTAGGGAGTGTGTGTGTGCGGTGCGGTGGTTAGCGTGACACAGCGTGAAACCAGACTTCTTTTTTTCCTCAATGGAAAGCATATTTACACTGTTTGAATCGTTCCCTGTCCCCTATATAGTGCACTACGTGCCATTCACTGTACAGAAAATACTAATTCTGTGGACAAGTGACCGATTTCAGCCGCGGCTTCAGCATCTATTTTATAGTGCAGGGGGCGGGTGCTTCGGATTCTAGAGAGCATTTGATTGGACAGAAATTTTGATGAGAAGTTGAAGTACGATGTGACGTCAAAAAAAATCGTTGAGCCGTTTTGGCGGAAGTGACGAACTGCAAGCTTTGAATGCTTATATCTTCTAAATGCGAATTTTGTCACTGTTTTGGAGCACACTGCCTTATAGATAACCTTAAGACTAACATATTGATAGTAACACCCAAAAAACTTTCATTTTGATTTCATGGGGACTTTAAAAATCACTTTTTGTTATGCTGGTTGTCTCTTTACATCTTGATAGCAATCACTAAGTTAAGTGGTCTAAATGTATTTATATCGTCTGTGGAAGGTGTAGGACCATAAAATATTCGTTCAGTCATATCCCTTGGTCTGAGGACTATGATAGGCTGTCCTTCCTGCCTGTCAATGTATGTATTTGCATATCTCAGTGCACCCTGTTCTCGCAGACATGATACGTCATCAGTGCGTTCCAGTACACTATTGCAGACCGAGCAAGAAGGCGTTATTATTGTAATATTACGTGCTTTATACTGTAATGTTTTCTCACCGGTGAATGAGAAATGAGGTAATCTGACAGCGATGCATTCAACCCTCCACCAACGCCGTCTCTCATCGTGTCGCTGGTCTGTGTGCGTTCATGTGTTTTGGAGGAGGCGTGGCTTTGGAGAGTGATTTGCAGTGAGGGTGGGATCTTATGCATTCAAAGCTAGTTTACTATTGCTAGCCTCTCAGAAATCGCCTACCCTACCTTTAAATATTGAAATGTTTTATGATTGTTTCCTTCTTGTAGATAATTTTTTCTACAACAACCTAATAATAGTATTCTAATGATCAATGCGTGCTGACACATAAAAAGCATGTGAAAATATTGAACACGTGGTTAAAAGCTGTTTCACTGTAATAAAAATCAACCCCTGGGACAATTAAATGACGCAATGTTTCTTTTCGTTTTAACCCAGCTTTTTAATCTTTTAAATCATTTTTATGCTGTCAACAACAAGGGAATTAAGTTGCTACTGACTTAATTGCTGTAACGTGTTTTTCTCTCAGGGCCAGGCCTAAACATGCCGCATGTCATTTTCATTATCTATCTATGTAAATGGTGTCAGTGCAGAAGCATTGCTATTTCATGCTCCAAGCTTATTTCAAACAATTAGCATGTCCAATGGGTAATCGTACCATTCAAGGATGTTACAATTCAGTTCCAAAATAAATAGAGAGACTTGCTTCAGTAGAGGCACTTCAGACTTTTGTTTCTTCTCAAGGCTGTAGAATGTGTATGTGCATTATAATTCAATTTAGACACGCTTTCATCCATTAATAATTTCTAATATTCATTAGGCACAGGCACTGTAAGGTTGGCTGCATTTCCATATTGCATATTTAAAGCCATCTTTTCTCACCCTCATGTTGTTCAAAATTATTATTTTCTTCTGTGGAACACAAAATGAGTTGTTAGGCGAGATGTCTGAGTTGATTCTTTCCAAAAAAAACAGAAGAGTATCATCAAAGTAGCCCAGCTTCATTTGGGGTGAACTATTTCTTTAATAGCCCTGTTGCTGCACATCATTTCTCTCTCTTACTCCTGTTCACTTTTCCAGATTCCAGCCCGTAGGTCTGGTGGAGCGAATCCAGGCCATCGCCCAGAATGTGTCCGACATGGCTATACGAATGGAGCAGATTCTGAAGAAGACTAACATCCCCACCAGAGGTGAATCTCTCATTTATGTTTGGGTGGCAAGGACCGAAACTCTATATCAAGATACCTAAATCTGCTATCAAAAAGCTCAAATGATCTGAGCTATGATAGCCACATGTATTTTATGCTTCCTTACTCTTCATCAACAATTGGCTCATTGTGTCTAAACTTATATTAAGTATAATTCAATGCGTTAAAGAGCTACATATAACATGCAAGATTGATTTACTCACCAAAAACTCTCATTTTAGTCTGTTAGTGAGCCAAAATCATATTGAAATGGACTGTTTAAAATTAGACATGAAGAGGTCTGGGCTCAGATCCATTTTGTCAGGACAGCACATTCGCTCATTATTATTTAATGCAACTTGATTGGACTTAATCACTATAATGCCAATCATCTCTTGCCGCTATTTGTACAGCGAGCGCCTCTGTAGGGTTTGATATCTCTAAAGTTTGCCAGCAGAGTTTGGTGGAATTCCAGCAGGTTTTTAGCGAGCATATGTGCAAGCTGTGTGGGAGGTTTATTTAAACTATTAATGTAAGACAAACGGAATGCATACTTCTGCTCTGCCATTTGGACAGAATGTTCAAGAATTCTGCTTATCATACTCTGCTTGCTTTGTTATGAGAACTTTTATGTTGAAAATGAGCATTTCGTGTGCAATTGAGTTTGTTTTTTAATGACTTTTTGTACATTTCCAATTTCTAATATTTAAGTTTTGACTTGACAATATCTTTTGATCTAAAGTCATACATCATGTTCTCAGTCTCCAGTAACTATGCCTGTTCACAGTGAATGTGAAAATGTGACATAACGTGACACAATCCCAGACAATAGGAATATATATGGTCACACTTTAGTTTGGCCGCCAATTCTCACTATTACCTAACTATTAACTACAACTACAACTTTTGCCTCAATAAGCTTCTAATTTGGTGCTTATTAATGGTTAGTAAGGTAGTTGTTAGTTTAGGTATGATATAGGATTAAGGGATCTAAAATATGGTAATGCAGAATGAGGCATTAATATGTGCTTCATAAGTACTAACAAACAGTCAATATGCTAGTAATATGCAGGCTAATAAGCAGCAGGTTAATAGTGAGAATTGGTCACTAAAGTGTTGGTATGCTTTATTTGATCAATTCTCTTTGAATATATTTTATAATGTAATTTATCTCTGTTATTATAGCTGAATTTTCAGCATCATTACTCCATATTGTCATTTGATCCTTCAGAAATCATTTTAATATGCTGATTTACTGCTCAAGAAAGGTTGAAAACAGATTTTTGCTGATTAACATTTTTAGGAACCATGTTCATCAATCAATCAATCAATCAATCAATCAATCAATCAACCAACCAATCAATCAACCAATCAATCAATCAATCAGTTTCCACAAAAATAATAGGTAGCATTGATACTAATAAGAATTATTATTAATAATAAAGCACCAATAATAATTGAACACCACATAATAATTGAACACAGCATTAGCATATTTGAATTATTTATCATTCTTCTTAAAATGTTCTCCTGAGAAAAACCAATAACATTACAAGTGTCTCCTCTAGAGTTTAAAAAATAGATCTCAACGGGGTCACAGATTATTGTTTTCCAAGATATTAGAGTATGCAATCAAAATAGATTTCAATAGGCATTTATAAACTTAAAAGTTTAAGGGGTGACAAGTGCGGTACCTGGGAGTGAATCTCTTAAACCAATGTTCCGTGTGTGTACAGAACACAGGAGTCATTGGATGTCTTCTGATTGAACAGTTCAAGGGTGTTTTTAGCTGCTTAGATGGTAATGCAGAATGAGGCATTAATATGTGCTTCATAAGTACTAACAAACAGTCAATATGCTAGTAATATGCAGGCTAATAAGCAGCAAGTTAATAGTGAGAATTGGTCACTAAAGTGTTGGTATGCTTTATTTTATCAATTCTCTTTGAATATATTTTATAATGTAATTTATCTCCGTTATTATAGCTGAATTTTCAGCATCATTACTCCATATTGTCATTTGATCCTTCAGAAATCATTTTAATATGCTGATTTACTGCTCAAGAAAGGTTGAAAACAGATTTTTGCTGATTAACATTTTTAGGAACCATGTTCATCAATCAATCAATCAATCAATCAATCAACCAATCAATCAGTTTCCACAAAAATAATAGGTAGCATTGATACTAATAAGAATTATTATTAATAATAAAGCACCAATAATAATTGAACACCACATAATAATTGAACACAGCATTAGCATATTTGAATTATTTATCATTCTTCTTAAAATGTTCTCCTGAGAAAAACCAATAACATTACAAGTGTCTCCTCTAGAGTTTAAAAAATAGATCTCAACGGGGTCACAGATTATTGTTTTCCAAGATATTAGAGTATGCAATCAAAATAGATTTCAATAGGCATTTATAAACTTAAAAGTTTAAGGGGTGACAAGTGCGGGACGTGGGAGTGAATCTCTTAAATCAATGTTCCGTGTGTGTGCAGAACACAGGAGTCATTGGATGTCTTCTGATTGAACAGTTCAAGGGTGTTTTTAGCTGCTTAGTATCTTTTCATAATCGAGCAGAATGGCTAGGGTGGCCATATGTGCCGATCAATGAATGACACCAGAGTATCTCGAGAGCGATTCGTAAGCATAAGGAGCCATCTGATCAGCTCTCTATAGCTCTCGTGAATGTCATACAACGATCGATCTGCACAGTGCAAACAGCCAAAACCTGGATATTTTAGGCAATATAGAAATCCTGGCAAGGACGCGTCCCGTAAAAATGGCCCGTATGGTCACCCTACGAATAGCCCATAATTCCTTTCTCAGTAAGCATGCTTGACACATCTGAAGTAGCCTGTTCTACAAAGAACAACCTCTTTCTTCGTTAATTAGGCTGACTGGGACTGGCTACCAGTGAGAGATGGGAGTTTATTAATCAAGGCGAGGGGATGTTTGCAATTTTCTATTCCTTTTATCTCCCCATCTGAACAGAAAGCAGTACAGAGCTCTTAACAAAGCCCAGAGCAAGCATCATGCAGACAAGTAAAAGGTAGAAGGGCAAGAGGCCGCTTTCATAATGCTTAATAAAGCAAGCTTGAGGAAATGGAAGAGTATATGGAGGGCTCTCCCAAAGCCTCATTAAAACCAAGAGCATTTGGATCCCACTGGTGTTCCATACTGAAGCTACTGTACTGTGGAAGAGTGCTATCAGACTGTGACTGCCTGTCCTTTTCATCTACAGGCCGAGATGGAGTTACAGGCCAGTGCGAAGTCCCAAAGGATCCCAGGTACCCGGATTGCGCCAGTAAAGTGGATGTGAGTTGACAGAGATATTTCTAAAAAAACTTTCACTCTCCTTTATGTCTGGTCTTTTTATTTCTTAGTTGCCTTAGAGACAAACTGATTGGCACTCAACAAATGGATTTCTTATGGAGTGCTTTCACAACTGTTTCATTGATTGATGTAGTTTTTTTAGATGATGTCTCTTTTCTGTAGTTTTTTTTTTTTCCGAGTAAAGTTTGTCCTCTCTCTCTCTCTCTCTCTTTTTAAATCAAAAATCAGACCATCCCAGACTCTTTACCAAGACGTGCTCAGCCTTTAAGCCAAGTATAGCAAAGAAGCAATGCATTTTTTTTTATGGTGAGCATCCCATATCAGAGCTTTTGGTGGCACTAATGTACTGAAACTGTCATTGAAGGCAAAAAGCACTTGGAACTGCTGTTGTCTTTGTACTTCACACATTTAAGCACAAGCCTGAAAATTACGCATTAAATAAAATGATTGCAGTTAATGAACTCTTTAGTCTTCATGAACTACTTAGTAAGCCTATGATAAACAAGTTGCTTACATAAAATACTCAGCAATCATTCAGACTTTTGCCCTCTGTGAGACACACAGTTTATCCTCATAAATCTTTTTCTGCCTCTAATCTGCACATATTGACCTACATCAACAGTCTTTTACCACATATTTTACATTTGCATATTTTCCCCATTGCATTAAATGTATTATTTTTTTAATTAAATAAAATCTTGGGCTGTCAAAAGTTTAAAATAATTATGATGCATTTAATGATTTGTATTATAGTTTATGCATACAGGAGGGAATTTATTAAGAATGAATTGCTCCTGCTTAAAGCTGTTTATTTGCATGTGCTGTCTGCGCTGCTTTAGCCCCTCGATTCACTAAATTATGTAGATCAGGCAACAGCACAAAAAACGCCCTGAAAATCTGTGCTGTGCACATTTTACACTGTGCAGTTCAGATCTCAGGACCGCTTCGGATTGTTGTATTATGGAGGGTACAGTAGACCACCATGACCTGATATATTTCATATTTTTGTAGAAACCATATTTTTTGCGCTGAGTTGATTCAACTGAGTTGATCCCCCCCCAAAAATTATTTGATGAATAGAAAAGTTCTAAAAAAAATCAGCATTTATTTGAAATAAGAATCTTTTGTAACATTTAAATGTTTTTACTTCCACATTTGATCAATTTAATGCATCCTTCCATTAAAACTGTTGAGCAGTGGTGTATATTGCAATTCATTAGGCTTCATTCAGGTTCTGGGGCTCAAATATAATGCACAAAAGTGCAATTGTTTACTGCATTCACCTTACTTACAAAATAACAACAACAACAAAAAAATAAAAATGTGCAAGTGTTTGTTTGGCAATTCATTATACTTTCATTCATCCATCATGTTTTTGACGTGAATACACAATACACTTTGTGTTTTACTTCGCATGTGGTGTGGTGAGAATTGTGCACTCTGTGTGCATTGGTTCAAATAAGAATGATACCATCCATCATCCATGTGAAGTGGTTGTTGTATGGATGAGAGTTTCTCTTAGGTCAAATGTTTGTTTGGTCCCATTCCAAACAAATCCTGAAAGCAGCTAAATCAAACCAATCTTTGCTTGCAAAGCATGCACATTTGGTTTAAAAAAACAAATGTATTGTGGGCAGTCGTGGCCTAATTGTTAGAGAGTCGGACTTGTAACCCGAAGGTTGCGGGTTCAAGTCTCAGGTCCGGCAGGAATTGTCAGTGGGGGGAGTAAATGTATGGCACTCTCTTCCACCCTCAATAACACGACTGAGGTGAGACTAGGGATGCAACGATTATAGATTTTGTTGGTACGATTATTGTCTGAGGAATAATCACGATTTTACGATTATGACGATTATTATGCATTTATCAATTTCCCAACATTACTAATGTATAAAATCACATGAACACTCTTTAGATATTAAAGTGTTATTTATTGCTGGCTTTTGAAACAGAAATAACACAGTAACCAACAATACAGCAAAAAATAATAATAAAAAAGACAAACAAAAGTCCATCTCTCCCATTGGAATTAAAAAAAGGTGACCTCTGCTCTGTAAACATCCATGACAGTATTTATCTTTTGAAAATAACAAATGGAAATTTTTAATAGTCTTTATAATAATTCATATGATTTTACATGTGGCCTGAGAAAATCATGTCTATTATTTTGGTTTGTGACCAAAATAAAAACGTGTGGCGCATGTGTACAAACATTCAGGAGGACACAAACTTCTTGAGAATGCTGCCCCGTAACTTTTATTAATAAAATAGATTAAATAGCCTACTGGAGAGACGCACAGACGCAGTTAGGCTAATTCACACAGGCAGCTGTCACCTCTCTCTCTCTATCTCTCTCTCTCTCTCTCGAATAATTAATTCAAGTAGCTAAATGTTATAATTAATTAATTCAAATAAATGTGATCTTACCGCACTATTTCATCTCTTCTGGTCTGGAGCGGGCAGAATGCGGCGCTGTAGCTTCGCGTCAGGTGGTTCTTATCTTCACGTCGTGCATTAAAATCGTTCAATGTACAGCAAGCCGTGCATTATCCCTTATGTATTCTCTCTTTAGCATTAGTTTTTTTACAGCAATATTTAAATGACACCCTGGTCATTCTTGGTGCACCCAAAATGGTCCCACACTATCAACAGGCATTTCTCTGGTGGAAATAAAGCTTCGCTGTTTGGTCCCTCTGTCACAGTTCATCTAATGCATGTAGTAGCCTCCGTGCCTCTGATAAGCACGTCATTTTAAGCTGGTGCACTGCTAGTGTAACTTTTTTCGTTTTGCACAAGCTGCAACAGTTCTTGTCCGTTGTCTTGGTATGCATAAGCATTAAGATTTCCATTCACTGGAAGTAAGGGGCCTAGACCAACCCCTGAAAAACAGTCCAATACCAGTATTACCATTATCCCTTTTCCAACATACTTTAAATTTGGTAGAATGGGTAGGTAGCAATCTCCTGGCATATGCCAAAATTACCATTATCCCTCTTCCACCAAACTTTAAATTTGGTAGAATGGGCAGGTAGCATTCTCCTGGCATATGCCAAAAACCCAGACTCACCCATCAGACTGCCAAACTGTGTGGTTTGTCACACCACATAATAAGTTCCCACTGCTCCAGAATCCAGCACGCTTTACACCAGGGGTGTCCAATCCCGTTCCTTGAGGGCCACTGTCCTGCAGAGTTAAAAACTTCTAAGCAAGTGTGTTGGTGCTGGTTGGAGCTAAAATCATCAGGAGTGCACACCACTCCATCCGCCGCTTGGCATTGTACTTGGTGATGTGAGGCTTGTAACCGTGCAGCTGCTCGCCATGGAAACCCATTCCATGAAGCTCCTGCTGTACAGTTTTTGCGCTGATATTAATGCCAGTGGAAACTTGGAACTCTTCAGCTATGGAACCAGCAAAGTGTCGGTGACTTTTACACACCAAGTGACTGAGCACTGAGTGACCCCACTCTCTGACTGTACGTGGTCTTATGTTTCGGCCTGAGTTGCTGCTGTTCCATGGAAATGCTTCCACTTTCCAGTAATACCACTATCCATGGGATGACATGATGACCATGGGATGACATTTCATGAACAAATATATTGCAAATGTGGAATACTGTCACAGTTCCACACTTGAATTTACTAAACTCTTCAGAACGACACAATTTTTTCACAAATATTGGTACATTCAGACTGCATGGCTGGGTGTTTGATTTTATACACATGTGGCAAAGGGTCTGACTGAAACACCTAAATTATCTAAGAATTTCCTATATAATTAAGAAGTGAGTACCAATACTTTTGTCCATATAGTGTATATAGTTTGAATGTACTGTAACTTGCTTTGGATAAAAGTGCCTGCAAAATACAATGTTAATGTAATTACAAACCTGAAGGAAACCCCTGAGGTATTCAAGAAAACTGATCATTTGATGGTTCTTGTCACATTCGGTTCAGGTGTCACACCTCTGTCCTCTCTGTGAAATGTCAAAATAGTGACAACTCTAAGATTTAACTGTTACTCATCTCTTTTTCTAGTGGATGAGAGCCAGGTGGACATCGGACCCTTGCTACGCCTTTTATGGAGTAGACGGCTCCGACTGCTCTTTCCTCATCTACCTCAGTGAAGTCGAGTGGTTCTGCCCCCCGCTGGCCTGGAGGAATCAAAGCAGCCACCCCACAACCAGCAGCCTGCCAAAAAGACAGGTGAGTGCCTGGAAGAGTCAACAATCACTACACTGAATTCATTGTGACAGAGAAGTGTAGGAGTTAGTGAGCTGTGATTATGGCTAAGATCACATGGCTCTTTTCCAAAAACCGAATAAGTTGCCATAGGCAGTGTTGCAGGTATCTTTTACCAAGAAGGCAATACTAGAACACACACGTTGTTACCTATACAGCATTCCAAATCAGTCATGTAGAGGTTTTATTTCAGTTAGAATGCTGACTTAGTTGGCTGTAGAAACCAAGGCAGCTCAGTGGGTTTTAAAGGGGTCATATGACAATGCTAAAAAAGAACATTATTTTGTGTATTTGGTGTAATGAAATGTGTTTATGCGGTTTAAGGTTCAAAAAACATTATTTTCCACATACTGTAAATTATTGTTTCTCCTCTATGCCCCGCCTTTCTGAAACGCGTCGATTTTTACAAAGCTCATCGTTCTGAAAAGCGAGGTGTGCTCTGATTGGCCAGCTATCCAGTGCGTTGTGATTGGCCGAATACCTCAAACGTGTGACGGAAATGTTATGCCCCTCACCATACTGTGATGCTGTGTCCCGGCGCGACGAAACAAAAACAATGCAACCCATTATAAATGAGGCATTTGTTGCATCCAGTGGGGACATAATTACTGATTATAATGACGTATACTGTCTTTTTACGCGTTGTGTTGCATCACGCCGTGCAAACATAAAACCATGTCTGCATTTGTGATCGGAGAAAGGACAAACAACAAGCGCTACTCTACACTGCTCAAAACTCACGTTTGAATCATCAGTGGCAATTTCTTTAAATATGAAAACATACGTACAGGCTGTGAGTCAGAACAGCCGGCATTGTAGTCTACTCTACCAGGTTCAGGAAACAGTCCTCCGTAAAACGCATTGCACACACACAAATATTTGGGTTGAAGTGTTCTGGAACAGTGTTGTAAATACAGCTTAACCACTGATTTCTAGTTGTGTCCCCTTTTGGAAGACCAAACAAAGTAGTTTCGCTTTCACAACGAAACACACAGCGTCTCCACAATATGGCGGCGGTGGCAGCGACAATACTACTGTGAGAATAAAAGTTTCACCTTCTTTCTTTGCATGAGTATTTGGGCGGTGTTATGCAAATCTTCCCACACAGTGACGTAGACATGTGGCGGCGTGTTTAAATGAGGCGTTTTAGGAGGGCGTGGACGAGTCTTAGCTTTTATAAAGAATAACTCTTTGGGTTTGAGACTTTAGTCTTTGCAACTTTAGGGATCGTAGCTATGCACGAACAGCTTGTAACACTCCAAAGAGAAAGGAAAACTTGAAATCGCATCATTTGACCCCTTTAAAACAGAGACTGTGTGAGCAGTATGTGTGTTCTCACCTGGTTAGTTACTCTCACAGTGTGTCATTTCAAGTGAGAGAGTTCCAGCTGTTTAACTGTTATTCACCGTGCCACTAAGCCCTGCTAAGGCTGAAACGAGACATCATTTTATTCATTCCCCCCCCCCCCACAAAGCATAAAATACTGTAGCATTTTCTTGCCCAGCAAAATTTCATCTGTAAATTCCACACAGCTGTTACCAGTACGAGTCTGAACTCTTTTAAAATGATGCCACAATCTGTTATTTTAAAAATGACAGTTCTTTCATTTGCAAAACCATGATTAACCTCAACCTCGTGTCCACAGACCAATTACAGTCCATTCATTCAAGTTGTGTTTAAGCATTGCTTTTGAGAACAAATAACTGGCTTTTACAGGTTATATCTTTGAAAAGATATTCAGAGTTTAGTAGCAAGTCATTTAGTAGCCGTTTTCTAGAAATCCTTGGACAGAACATCATATTACTGTATACACTTGCAAAAAAGAAGTGCACATATCTGTATTGAATGTTCAGTGTAGTGTAATTAAAATCTTTAAAGTATGTTTAAAAAAACTGTACTTGGGCAATTTAATATTAATGAAATAAAGGGACACTTAAGTGTATTTAAAGAGTGTACACTTTCATGACTGTTTCTTAACATTTTCACTTTTAAAAAGTGCCCTTTGTAATAATGTAAAATTGAAAGTTTTAATAAAAAAAATAGAAGCATGTTTTAAATGAGTATGTTTTAATAATCTTTTGTTGTGTTTTGAATAACATACTAACATACTAAAGCACATGTAAAGTACTTGGTTCAAATTTTAACTATGTTATTCAATATCACTTTTAAAGTAAGTATATTTTAAATGTACTAATCTGCAACTTCATCTTTACAAATGTGTAATTACAAATATATTTAAATGCATAACATACAAGTTTCAATAGATGATTTATATGTGTGTATGCATGTGTATATCTATGTGTATATGTGTCCATACTGTATGTATATACGTGCAATGAGATTACAGCAAGTTTTCTGACTGCGTTTCAGGGGGCACTGTAGAGCCTTGAGTTTTTGAGTATGTTAAGGCTCCCAAAAAGCCCTGGGTAGTTGAAAAAAAAATTAAAAAAAATAAATAAATAAATTTATTTATATATATATATATATATATATAAAATGCTCAACTCACTGTCTGCCGCTGCCGCTTGGTCCTTCATTTAAAAAACAAAAACTTGAATTTAACAAATATAAAATGTTCCAAACATATTTCTAAATTAACTTGATTTTCACTCAAATTAATCAAAATGGATTTATAGCGTTTTGAAATCAAACTCTTCAAATATATATTTGTTTTCTGAGCTATGTCTGCGAAATAATCAGTACTTATCTACACTAATTTTGTCTCTACACTTCCCTGCCGGTTTTCACTAACCTTTTCTCTTTCTATAGGCGTTTTTCCGCTCCAATCTGTCTCTACTGTTAGAGCGTGTTGGCTCGGGCAAAGAATCGCTAAGCTTCATGAGGAGGCGTATGCGCAGATTGGCTGTGCAGTGGGCTGCAGCTGCACGCAGACTTGACGAGCACCTGCGTGGTTACTACAGAGAGCAGAAGAGGGTGAGCTGTCACGCACTGTCTAAAGAGGGTGAAATAAAGGCGCTATAGGACATAATGAGGGTTCCTTAAAACAATGACTTCATTAGCACTATTCGGATGGGATTCGTTTTCGAAGTGACATTTGAGTTAGTTGTTAATAGAGGAAGCCTGACTTATCGTGTATTGATTTGGATGCGACTGGGATTTCAAACCAGAAGTTTAGCTGTAGATATGGGATTTGATGAAGTTTAAAATAAATGAGAAGCACAATAATATAGCGCAATCACAGATGTTGGAATCTGGACGGGATTACATTTCTCAGAGGACCCAAATGAGTATGGATTTACTTCATAATTTGTTGTGTAAGAAAAACACAGCCAAATTTGATTTGGATGGTATTAAAATCAAAAATAAGTCTGCAAAACACAAATTTATCTAACCACCTCAGGAAAAAAACTAGTTTGAATAAGAACATTATATATTAGCAGTAATGTTTGTACTATTTCCTTTTTCAAAATCAGTTACCCTATACAGACTGATTATTTTCATTTCCTGTCCTAGAGCCAAGCCTGAATGGAAAATTGTAGATTAAATTAAATCTGTCTCACAGTGAGATACAGACCAGATACACACTCTCAGTTCTGTCACATAGAGAAGTGGTTTCCTGTGAAGAGGTTGACTGTGACCATGAAAAAGCTGTTTACTGTAGGTGAAATCTGTAGCTTATGAGTTTGACTGGTAAGTGTAAGATAATTGCAGGTGCTTGTGAATATGTTTGCGGTGGCTGAATGCACACATTTCCCATGTGGTAGTTTTTAATTATGGACTGTTTCTCTGTCAATTTGTCTTTGCTCATGCTTTCTCAACATTCCTCTTGGTTGGTGCACTTTTGATGTCCCTATTGAGTCATTTAACATTCTGGTTAAAGCCTTTTAACAGTGTAGGTTGAAAGCTATTTATGGATATGGATTACCAGATGTCTGTGTTTACCATGTGTAGGATGAGAATCTTAAAGAAACTAATTATTTTGGCTTAGAATCAATTCCAATTAATGATTTGGTTCCTTAATGATTCTATAAACTATTATACTGCATTTCATACACTACCATATTGAGTACTAAAATAAAATAAATATTTTAAAATATTAGTACTAAAACAGCATTAGTAGGTTTAATAAGAATGTCCAAGTCTTAACCTAAATGTAAACTAGATATACTCTATATTAATAAAAGTACCATTTATTACAACAAAACTTTGATATTAAAATGTAAATATTAGTAAACGTTGAGATTAATTAAATACTGTGGAGAAGTATTTTTCATTGTTAGTTCATGTAACTAATGTACTTAACTAATTTGAACAATTGACATTTTACCATCATCCTCATCCTTATCATCCTACAACTTCCCAAAAAGTAAAGATTTTATATTAAAATTCCGCATTTGTATTGAAGTAAAACATTTAAAATAGATTAACTTTAACAGCAATACTGAATAACACACTAGAATTATAATAAGCAAACTATAATCAAGTACTTTACATATGCTTTAGTATGTTGGTCAACATATTCAAATAAGTGTACTTCTTTAAAACACAGACTAGAAATAAAATCACAAGCAATCCAAATATTATACAACAACTAAAATGAATGGCAAAAATTGATACATGATATTTATTAATAAAGGTAGTTTAGACCAACAGGGAAAATAAAGTGGTTGAAGTCACTGAGCAGCACATCAAAAACACACTCGGTTACTAACGTAACCTCGGTTCCCTGAGATACGAGAATGAGTGTTGCGTCTTGCTTAAGACTGAGGTGAAGAGGTCGACTTCTGCCTTGCCCAAGATCTCCCAGATTCTCTGAACCGTATGTGGGGGGAGCATCCACTCTTCTGAGGGGACATTGCTCTGGGATAGCATGTCTGCTCCCTGGTTCAACCTGCCTGGCACATGTGCTGCTCTTAGCGAACGCAAGTTTAGCTGAGCCCATTCCAGGAGGCGCTCTACCAGAATGAAGAGGCGCTTCTAGGTGAGACCGCCCTGGTGATTCTTTATCCCCAGAACCCATCTTGACCCCCCGGGGATGGCCCGCCAGGCCTCGGCCCACATGGCAAATGGTTGGGTTGGTTCGAGCGACAGGCCGCCATGTGGGGACCCAATGCTCGTGAAATTGGGTTTTATTTTTCTCGCTATAACAGCGGTAAGTTGTGCGGGCGCTAATTGAATGGGCACGGGGTTCACAACAGAATTCACCACAAACACACCACACACAGAATTGAAAATGAACGGGGTGCTTGGAGGCACAAAAGAGGCCGCTTGGGGGGTGTTCCGGCGATGGCGAGACTTTGCCCCCTCCTCTTCCTGTCCCACGGATCAGGTCGACGCCTGAGGCACCGGGGCCAGCACTACCTTGGGCCGGGGTCCTTGGCGCTTAGGGAATGGGTAGTGTCTAGCCGAGCGGGAGCGATGCAGAGGCTCAGGCTTAGAGGCCTGAAAGCTGCGGGGTCCGGTCCAGACTCGTCCATTTTCTGGAGAAGTTTGGCCTGAAGGACCTGGAGGACCGCCATGGAGTGAAGCACCAAGTTCGCTTCTCCAGCAGACGAGTAGGCCCTTCCAGCGAGCACTGAAGTAGTCCTGCACGGCTTGGACGGGTGGGTGGCCTTTGCCTTCCAGCCGATGGCCGTGGGCGGGCAGAGATGCACGGCCACTGACTCATCCAGGGGGGGCAGGTTGTCATACCCCTTTTCTTCTGCGCCGGTCGACCGTTGTGAGGGCAGACGACGAGGAGGTACGCAGGCGGGCCAAGTAGGGGGCGCGCCAAGATCTGGTGATCTCTTCATGGACTTTCGGGAAGAATGGGGAAGCTCGTTGTCGAGGGGCTTGATGGCGCCCCGGCAAGAACCATTCGTCCAGGCGGCTGCGGGTGGGCTCCTCCGGCGGAGACCGATCCAAAACCAGCTCTTGGACAGCCTTAAACAGAACGCGGAAGAGTTCGGCGTCCATGCCTGTGCTGGCAGCACTGGGCTCTGCAGACGGCAGGGGGGTGGGGTCGAAAGACGAGCCCGACAGCTCCTCCGCATCTGAGGCATCCAGAGACACATTGTCATCCATGGTGTCACACTCACTCCCACCGAACGAAACCAGATCGCTCGCAGCCGCAGAGGGATGCTGGTCCAGGTGCGAGAAGAGAACGGGGGAAGCCTCTCTATGTGGAGAGAGTGAGGCATGCAGGGGCTCAGCCGGAATGGGCTCACTCATCACAGAGCGCTGAGATCCTCTGCCCCGCAGCTTTTTCCTCACAGGCTCCTCGGAGGAAGGAAGCGGGAGGGCGCGAGGGACAGAGTCGCTTTCTGAAAAGAAAGCTATCCGCGAGCGCAGAGACGAGAGACTCATACCCTTGCAATGAGGACATTCCATCTCGTTAAGTGCAGTTTCAGCGTGGGCAGCGCCCAAGCATGAAACACACTGGCCGTGACCGTCAGCGGCGACTGTAGCGGTGCAGAATTTGTAACAATGCCGGAAATTTGCTCTTAGAAATTTGCTCTTATAGTCGCCGGATAGCGGCAGGGGACCGGAAGACCCCGCTGCTACAGACGCCGAAGGCAGCTGAAGAGTTGTGAAGTCAGCCGAGCAGAGAGGGGTCTTGATCCGCTGCGAGGCTTGTTCACGCCGAAGGCTTCTAGTCTCGTAGTGTGAAGATCTTGTAGTCGTCGCTGAAGGAGAAGAAATCGAAGGATCCTATGGCGAAGTGCACGCTTATATAGCTAGATGCCCTGCCCATATTGGCGGGCTCTGGCGGTCTATGCCGCCATAGGCTCGTGCAGCTCCGCTGCTGAGCCATTGGTTTGTTTTTAATTCACTGCACGAACCAATGGCCGTGCAGTTACACTGCATGATTGAAAAAGGCTTCAGTATTCAGAGAAAAATGAGTTTTCCCCATAGCGTCTTAAGTAATATGCAGTACGAGTGAAGTATCGAATAGGAACAGTATTGTTCATGCGCTTGACCTCTATTACCATCTATCACTTTATCAGCAATTCATTTTCATTGAGAGTGATTTCATTGGAAAACCGCAGATAGAGAAATTGAGACCATGTCTGGACACCAATATTCTATGAAAAAATAAATAAATAAAATATCCACTTTTCTGTAAGCTCAAACCTAACAAATATACATGTCACATGTGTCTGTAATTTGATGCACAAATAAATATTGCTTTAAAAACATATTCTGTAGCAATGGTAAAAGAATAGACATTTGACTTTAAGGGTATTTTGTGATGCAGAGATGACAATGCCTTGTTCAAAGAAAGTGTCATTTGTAGTATATCAACTCGTTAAGAAATGCATGCCACATGCATGTCAGTCTGTCATCTCAGGAGAGGCCATGCAACTCTTTCATAATTTTGCACCATGCAAACGATGCTTGTGAATGGCTGAGGAAAAAAAACCCTAAGTTAAGATGAGCTTCACGAATCATCCAGAAATACCTTGAAATATCTGAGAGCTGCATTACTCATCTAAGGTACATTTAGTGACATTCACTCAATAAACCCTCTAGATGAAAATAGTAGTCCGTCCGTAATTTGTAAATTGACTGCTTTCCTTTTAAAACTAAAATAATATCATTGTCTTCATACATACAAAACAAGAACATGTTAGCATCTGGCAGTTGTAGTAAAAAAAAAAAAAGACATTTAATTCAGCTTTTTGAACATCTAAGCAGTAAAGACCACGTGATTAAACTATCATTGTCTTCATACATACAAAACAAGAACATGTTAGCATCTGGCAGTTGTAGTAAAAAAAAAAGACATTTAATTCAGCTTTTTGAACATCTAAGCAGTAAAGACCACGTGATTAAATACTAATTAGCCACAGGAAAACAGTGCCAGCAAATTGTGTGAGAAAGAGTGCTGCTTAAATAGTCCCACTGATTGAAAACAGGTGTGCGTAATCAGTTCCAGGGCAGAGGGTTATGGGAAATGGAGTCCGGGGTGAAAAGGTGATGGAGACCTCTGGTGGTGAGTGGGAGGAACAGCAGGGACCATATTTATGTCACCTGCATCTTAAAAGGGACTCGCCTTTTTTTTTTTGGCTTTGACTTCTGTAAGAAATCAGCTTTAACAAAATGTCATTATTTCAAAAAAAATTCATTGAGAAAGATTTAACAAAATCTTTCATCTTTCACCCTTTTTTGGGTTTGTATCTCTTCTTTTTAAGATATACAGATACTTATTAAACTTGTGCTACTGTCAGGAATATACACTCAGTAGTGGGTGTTTTTTATTCTCTCTTTATATGGTATGTAGGTTGATTTTACAGCTAGACTATTCAATTAAAATGTAGGAAAATAGGGTATTTAAAAAATGGACAAATGTTCTCAGCTTTGTGTGGAGACTGGAAATACTGTAAAGGTTATAACCAAATCATAAGATCTTTTGATCATGCCTTTGAGCAAGCCCTGAAGGTTTTGGATGTTTTGGTCAGCTTTGTATGTTATATCAAACTTTTCTTCAGAGACTAGGATTGAAATGGTTCCCTTAAAAACAAAATAATATAAGATTTAATTTAATGTAATTTAATTTAATTTAGTGCATTATAGCATATAGCTTAATGCTTTGCAATAATCAAAATAATCTCCTTATTAATGACATACCAAGTATTTACCAATAAACCAAACTGAAACTGTGATACGAGCTGAATCATGAGAAATATAAACCTTTAGACACTAGCTTTGGCTGGCTAAATCCTTATCTAGTTGGTTGTCTACTTACATTAAGGCTGTCAAGACTGCTAGAGTACATGAAACATCATTAAATCCCTGCTGCTGAACTTCAGCTTTGTGGAATTTGAGAAGTACATCTCTTTTATTTCAGATATTTCAAACATAACTTAATCTTGACATGTAGCCTTTTTTGGCAGTAAAATTGTATATTCATGATGATACTTATAAGTCATTTGTCCCACTGGAAATAGCTTATTTAGGCAAATTTAGTAGTATTTTGGTATTCTATGCTTACAGAAAATTAGCATAATGTGCATAGTAGACATACTATTCTGCAGAAATAGTTGTATGTGTTATGTGTAATATGGTCATATGTTATTCTGAACATAGTCTATATTTCCTTTCCTTTCAGATCCTTGTGCATGTGGGCTTTCTGACAGAGGAATCCGGTGATGTGTTCAGTCCTAAAGTGTTGAAGGGTGGCCCGCTCGGAGAGATGGTCCAATGGGCAGACATCCTCACCACCCTTCATGTGCTAGGTCATAACCTCAAGATATCACTCTCAGTCAAAGAACTGCAAGGGTGAGTCTCGTGATAAGGCTCTTACCTCATTAATATTCATAAGCAAAATCTTCGCCTTGGTACTATTTATGATCTGATGACCTCTACAGATGTGCTTTAGTTGCATTGTTTTGACGGTGACATTGCAATGTGCTCAGATATACTATGCATCATGTATTATTAAAATTCAGAAACCCTTATTATTAGTGACACTAATCTGACTAGTGTCATTAAGTGAACTGCGGCCAGCAACTTTTTTTGCTTTTGCTTTTGCTTGTGCTTTATTGTGTTTTATGACCTACTATACTTTGCATGTTTTATTTTATTTGAATTTATTTTTAGTCATTTTAGTCTTACCTACGCACTGATCCAGAAACAACAAGTGCCACGTTAAATTCCTGCATACAGTATTAGGAGTGTATTTCAGCACTATGGACAGCTCCCGTATACACACAACAGTCTGGCTGCATTTGCTCTAACTATATGCACAATATCTCTGAAAGATTTTAAAGCACGTCATTTGTACTTTTTTTGGTTTTGAGCTGAAGAGAAGACTATTATGAAATACCCTAGGGGTGACACCTGCTTGAATGTGAGCTTGTAATCAGTTTGGCTTTGTCAAATAGTTGACAAGAAGGTGGTAAGTGTACAAAGTAAACCGTGGAAACATGTATATGAGCTTGGAACCGAAGAAATGTCCTAGTGAAGGCATTGATAAATTGCAGGAAGAAAAATGGCAACATCGAACATTGAACTTTACTATCTCTGGATGCTCCTAGTGAATTTAAATTAGTTGAAAACCTGGAGCACCATGACAACAGGTTTCTGTCTCGCTTCAGGCTGGACAACAACCAGTTTGACCTACTCCCAGGAAAAGCTGAACACTTTTTTTTCTTTTTATACAACATAGAATTGTGAACATTTACATGGAAAGCATACCAAAAAACTAATTAGTCGTTGCAACTATATATAATTACTTTTACTCTGTACTTGACTACAATTTTTGAATATGTATTGTATACAGTGGGGCAAAAAAGTATTTAGTCAGCCACCAATTGTGCAAGTTCTCCCACTTAAAAAGATGAGAGAGGCCTGTAATTTTCATCATAGGTATACCTCAACTATGAGAGACAAAATGAGAAAACTTTACTCCAATACATTTGCGATGTGTAATGCAGTTTCTTGTTACATTTTGCATGCCACCTGACTTTTTCTGCATCAGTTTATTTCTGCTACAAAAGAAGTGATATTGCCATCTACAGCACATTGAATGTGCTATATCTTGTGCGTTTTGCCCTCACTCACCCAAACTTGTCAACAAGTTTCATCCACAAACAGTTATGAATATGAAATAAGTTATTGATTAATCTTCATGCTTAAATAATGCTAAAATAAAATCTTCATGTTCATGCTAAGAATAGTTTGACTGTTTTAAAGTCAGGCTATTCGCTTATTTCATATTCTAGATTGTCATCATTTTGACAAATGTTTTCATTTGTCACACTTCTGACACGACTAGATCAGAAATTTGAATATGAATATGCAAGGTCACAGAACCCAAACAAAATGGGATCACCAATCATCATCATTTTGCACAGAGGCCAAGTTAAAGACAACTTTATAATGTGAATTCACAGTAAATTTATGTGATTAAGCATCATTCTGCTATTCATTCACAGTCATTTGTAGGAACATGCATGCATTGATTTCACAGCAAATGTCTGACTACAGTAATATATTGTAAATAATACTCTTTAACCCTGTAAATTCCTGGCAATTTTTTACAGTGTAGTATAGCTCTGAACCTATATTCAGTTCAAGTAAAATACTTAAGTACTGTTAAAATCAGATACTCTAACCCCCAGTTTCACAGACAAGGCTTAAGCTAGTCCCAGACTAAAATGCACGTTTGAGCTATCTCAACTGAAAATATCTTGCTCTGACATATCTTAAAATATGTCAGTGTCATTGTTCTGTGTCAAGATGCACACCTGTAATGTTTTCTTCTAAGGCATTTTTGTAAAAGTTGCTTAAATATCTTAATTTAACTAAGGTCTAGTCCTGGCTTAAGTTAAGCCCCGTTTGTAAAACCGGGCCTAAGAGTTTTACTCAAGTCGAATTGGAATGGGGGACTTGTAACTTGTAATGGAGTCATTTTCACTGAGTACTTGCAGGTATTCTTTACACCTATATACAGTGGGTACGGAAAGTATTCAGACCCCCTTACATTTTTCACTCTTTGTTATATTGCAGCCATTTGCTAAAATCATTTAAGTTAATTTTTTTCCTCATTAATGTACACACAGCACCCCAACTGTATATATATATATATATATATATATATATATATTTTTTTTTTAAATAAATTATTATTTATTTTGTATTTATTTTCTTTTAGACCTGGGGGGGAATAAAGATACATCAGGAGGATTAAAAGACATAATTTGTGAATCAAAACCATGAGTAAAATATCACAAGGTGCAAAGTGGGACCTGTCACTGCAAAGACATGCAGCATTGGATGTGCTTGAAAGGACAGCAAACGAGGTTGCTCAACAGTTTAATGCATTGAGCAGTGCTGACGTGAGTCATGTGAAAAGGCCTTTACACAAGTATCTGTCAGTCTCTGTTCAACAGACAGTTCTATCAGCCCTTCTCTGATTAATGCTTCAATACACTGAAAGATAATGCCATTCTCACTTGCCTCAAAAGTTGGTTTTTGCCAATCTTGTTAACTGTCAGGCCTGAATGAAATGTGTGAAAATTGCCTTCAGTTACAGTTTTTGTGTTTAACTTGAAGACATTCTTCTTTAATCTGTTTTGTCAGAAGATGTGAGGCTGCTGGAGTTAATGCTCTTGCTGATCCATATCTCTGACAGACTTCAATATGTTGCTTTGAATGTAATTTCTATAGTCTTTTCATGAGAAAGAAAAATGAAGTTTGTTTATTATGATCTGATATGTCTATAAATTGGCCTGTGAAATAGTGAACGGTCTACATGAGAGCCAAAACACTAACGCACTTTATAATTCCTTGCCGTGTCTAGTGGAATCATTGTAGGAAACTTGGCAGTATTTCTTTGTTGCTCAAGATTGCTCTGCTCAGATTGACTCAAGTAAATTATTTATTCAAATAAATGGCACCTCACCCCTTGCATTTGCCAAAAAAACGAACCCCTTAGCGGGGACCTGAGCCATATCTATAGGCACCAAAATATCACAGGCTGTTTTCCAAAACCCAGCAAGTCTAAGGCAACATCCAAACTCAAATAGAACAAAGCTAAATCCAAGCGATTTCAAAAGAGTTTGTTGTTAGCATGCTAATGATGCAGTTCTGAATTCCCTTTCAACCAATGTCAGATGACTCGACAAACATACTTGCAGTGACTATTTCGAGCATGCAAGACCAATTCCCATGCACCTGCTTGAATGGACTCATCTCAAAAACTTCTTGACACACATTTAAATAACAAATCAGCAACAAAATTGGACAAACTGTCCCATAATGTTGTTTCTTATGCTCAAAAAAACATAAAAAATGGGAAATGGAGCTTTTGATATGTGTATTTTTATCTGGAAGATGTATTTTTAGAGTGTTTGCTCAGCTGCAATACCTCTCTAAAACGTTTCCTGTCAGATGTTAAATGGACATTTAGAAAGATGCTTTTAAGATCCTTATGATTTTGAATGAAAGTAAAACAGCTATGTTAAAGATGTTTTCCAAGTTTTTATACACAACAGATACTTTCCATTTTCTCTTGGAGATGTATATGTGTGTGCTACCTGGGTATTAAACATAAAAATAGATAGCACACATATATTATGTAAAATAGTCCATTTTAATTAGACTGAACAGTAGAATTAATTAATTTATAATTGTTCTATATTTAATGAATTCTAAATATATTTGTAAGGATATCCTCCACCATTGTTGAATGGATTTCATTATTATTATTATCAATAATAATAATAATAATTAGTAGTAGTAGTAGTAGTATTAATTATTTTTTTCTTTACTGAATACATTCTAAATTTATTTCTAAGAGAATGAACCACCATTTTGGATATAATATTATTATTATTATTATTATATTTCTAAGAGAATTCTCCGGCTTGACCCACCATTTTGAATGGATTTATGTAATTATATTTTTGTATTTACATTTTTCTCTGTACTGAATAAAGTCGAAATATATATTTTAATGTAATTATGGAATTTTCCCGCTTTGTCTATGTTTTTTTCTGTGTATATATATATATATATATATATATATAGTGCTTATAATGCTTTATGGTGTTTTTTATACAGGAAGCTCAGCAGGTTATGGAATAGAGCCACATGGACTTGCGGGATAGGCTCTTTTGAATTGGGCCAGTAAGAAACCAGCTAGCAACCACATAGAACACCCTAGCAACTGCATAGTAATGTCTTAGTAACACACTAGCAACCACCCTTTTCACCTCTATATTTGTTCAGAGCAGAATAGTCCAGATTTAGTCCTGATTGTAGCTCAGTATCTTCTGACTCTCTGAACTGATCAGACACACACTCAAGCTCACTGATGAGTCTCACTAATGCAACACGCTCTGATTGGCTTTCCCTCTTCACTGCATACTTCATGTGTTTTCTCTGTAGGGAATAGGCAGATGTCTGTTCTCCAGCTGTTGGAGAGGTTTATGATACTCTCTCCTCCCCAGCAGCTGCTGTCCCTCTATTCTCATCTTTATTCCCGCTGGCTGTGTGCTGTCAGAGTCAAAGCAGAGCACACATTCACAGCTTCCTGTCAAAAGTCCAGCACACATTACTAAACAGAAGCTTGTCGCCCTTTCATGTTTTAAAATGCCATGAAACTCCCTCTTTCTGCACAGGTCAGCTCTCTCCAATGATATGGAAATGTAAAAATGCATGCCTGAAGCTGTAGAGTGGAGGGAGGAGAGGATATACTTTTCTGTTATTATTTTATTGTGTTTTATTGCATTGTGAGAATCCTGGCTTATTGGTATGCCCACCAGATGATGCGA